GGTGGTCTCGGCCCGCCTAACTTTTCAGCAAGCGGGCCAGAACAATTGTTTTTACACGGCAAAAATCAAGCGGGCCGCGCCCTATATAATTGGCCTGCTTGCCAAACTTTAGGAGTGCCGTACCCAAAATGGATATCGTGTAAATGTAGCTAAAGTCTTGCGAGTCTAAGTGAAATTTTCTGCTTGATAAATGATCATTTCCATGTAGAAACTATATCAAAACTTCTGACTGCAAGATTAGTTAACCATTAAGTTGAAGCATGGATTAATCTAAAATCCAACTGGGCAAGTAGATTTCAAACTTTTTTCCTGCCCTGTCTTACCTTAATTTTGTCAATAAATAAATAAAACTATGAAAGTTTGATAATCAGTCATTGCAGGTTTGATGTCCATTAAATGTTCTCATGGCACATAGTGCCATTTAGTTTAAAATGACTATTGTAGTTGATAATACTCAGTAGTAGTTGATAATACCCAGGTCACTGGAATGCCAATAGATATCTCATGGTCTTATTTTGATTCTCCACAACTGTAGAAATTCTCATTCAGCTTACTCCATTGTCCCATTGAGCTCATCCTCAAACACAAATGATTTTCTAGTTGTGTCCAGTAATAGTGTTGTGACATCTGCACAGAATCCACATGATACTTGAAGAAGGTGAACAAGTTTTCTTGACAAAAATTTTCTGTCTTCCTCTTTCTATAGTTTGAAACAATATAAAAGCGATACATTGTAACTGATATTATTTCAGTAAAAAATACTCAACTTAAATAATCAACTATTGTCAGGGCTGTGCTCTAGAAATGCCGGGGTGTCACAGGTGACTAATTTTTGGCTTGCAGCTCAAAAAACTTACTCTTTCCATATAAGCTTAAGTACTGGGTGACCAGGATCCTTTGAACTCCTTAATTTTTCTTAGACCACAGCCTTGATTGTTCTTTTTGGTCCTGGCGGACAGTCCATACATTCACTCTTGTTTTAGCCTGTCTACAATGGACCAGGGCAGCCTCAATTGCAGCACCATACTCCTTCGTCTGCGTTATTTGCAACAGAGACTGCCACTCCAGAGTGGGACTCTATAGCCACTCGAGACGATGCTCCGCATCAACATAGTGCTACAACATCGTCTCCTGAGACGAACGGCTGCTGACGACAATGGCCACCCCTCCTGGCCTCCACAACGGTAACCACCACTAAAATGCATCCCAGCTGCCAAAACAACTGATGAACAGTGTATACAAAACCCCATGTTCATTGGAAAAGGTCACCAAACTTGATATGTGCCATGCATTATTGTCTCTGTTTGTGTTCTGTTTGGATTGTGTTACTGCTAACAGGCTAAAATAAGCATTTTTCAAAAATGTAAATGTTGCAACCCTGAAAAGAATAGGTGTCATATATTTACACCCCTTACCTCCCAACAACAGCCACCTATCTACAATGGCCAATTTCCTCTGTCCCCAAGGTGGCTGCTGTAGAGAGTTGCAACATTTTCAACATATCCCTTTCACTGCGTAATGCTCACCTGCAAGTCTGCACAAATTAGGGGCAAGTCATAACTGTCTGCAAGACTTGTAACCTCCTGGATGCTAACAGCATGCATAGCTTCATTCTTAGCTGAAAACCAATTATATAAATCATGCTGGGTTATTGAAGCCTTCTAACTAAGCGTATCGAGGTGGCTGACAACAGTTTCCAGCACTTACCAGCAACATGGCTCTGAGGTTTTCAGAACAAAATTGCAAGTTTGTGAAGTTTCTTTTGTTTCTCAATTCCCCAAAGAGACTTGGATACAAAGAAAACAACAGCAAAATAATATAGAAGTTGTTCCTGAAAGCCTCAGCACCTTGTTACAATGTTGATATATCGCACATGACCCATTACACTTTGACGGGTTGATATTACCACTCATTATCAAGTGATGTCAGATTATAGGTATAATTTACACAAATGCCCTTCATTTCTTATAATTGAATTGTGATAAAAATTTTAAGATACAACTTTTTGCAAAGTTAAAAAAATATCTATTTTAGGGGGTTGTGCTCTGAACCTCCATGGAAGGAGAACTTATATTATGCCACGAAGATAACCACAACTTGTTCACCAATGACTGAGCATTTTTGTGATATCAGTACTCTAACATCACTTGATAAATAGTAGCATATCAATCCATCAAAGTATTACTTCTGGAAAGTGGTGTAAGACACCTGATAAGTTAAGGGAAGGGGGAGTGAACCAATATTTCTATTGTATCACCAAAATGTCAAGACTGGCTGACTTTTTAATATTGTTATATAGCTGGCCTTTTTCCTGCTACAGCATGCCGATTCATTGGCTAGTTCATGATCACATGACATCTAACAATGAAACTGTTTCCCACCAAATGCCATAAGTGGGCAACATTGCAAAAACTATGACGTCAAACAGGAAACAGTTCATTGTTACCCGCCAAATGTTGACCGCTGTTGCACGTCATTTGTCAATAAAGTGATTACCATAGACTCTTGAATTAGCGCCCAGGGCGCTTATTTCAAATTTAGGAGAAGACAGGGGGCGCTTATTTGAGGGGATCGCTTATTTAATTTTTCCCAAATCTTGAAAATACATGATCACTTTTTTAATACATCAGGCGGACATAAACAACAACATAAGCTGTTTATTGACATAAAAAGCTGATCCTAAAGTTTAAATCACAGCATCATCAGAACTTCATGCGGTCACAAACTGAAACAATGTACAAATCTAATACTACACAGCGAAAACTATACATCCTTTGCTGCCTCATTACTCGTCTACAAAATAGGGGAGGGGGAGTGGATGCTTATTCAAGGGGAGGCCCTAATGTTAAATTTTTGGCCAATAGAAGGGGCGTTTATTCAAAGAAAGCACTTATTCGAGGGGGGGG